GATGTTGTATTATTTTCAGAACGGCCTTGGGCCCAGTTATAACAGAACGGCCTATTGGCCCAAAAATAACAGAACAGCCTTTCGGCCCCGGCAACCTTTCGACCCAGAAGTATACAAAACAGCCTTTCGGCCTAGAAATATATAGAACAGCCTTTCGGCCCATAAATATACAGAATAGCCTTTCGGCCCAGAAATATACAGAACAGTCTTTCGGCCCAGAAAATATACAGATGTATATAATGCCATCATTGTTTACATTCCCACTAAATTCCAATCGATATACATGTTAACGTAAGAATTTACGGAAATCAAAACGTTAATATCATTAAACATTTACAGTAATTAGCGTACATTCATTGTACTGTTACTCACAGTGTTATTGCGGAGCGATGGTTCCTCCTGTGGTGTGTCCTACACACATATATAACATCCATTAGTTCGTTTTTCCTTTTAAACCATTTCTTGAGTCATTACATTTCAAATGAATTTACAACCATCAAAAAGGCATCAAACATAAATTCTAAAAATATCCGGAGGTTAAGCACGTAACACGGAGCGAACATTTTTTTCGGACTTGGGCCACACGTGCGGCCACCCCCTCCGCTCGAGCGGCCATGGACCGCACATGCGGTGCCTCTCCTCCGCTCGAGCAACCAAAAACAATATGCTTCTCCATTTTTTTCTCTCTTCTCCGCACGTGGTTCGTTTTTCCTTTTAAACCATTTCTTGAGTCATTGCATTTCAAATGAATTTACAACCATCAAAAAGGCATCAAACATAAATTCTAAAAATATCCGGAGGTTAAGCACGTAACACGGAGCGAACATTTTTTTCGGACTTGGGCCACACGTGCGGCCACCCCCTCCGCTCGAGCGGCCATGGACCGCACGTGCGGTGCCTCTCCTCCGCTCGAGCAGCCAAAAACAATATGCTTCTCCATTTTTTTCTCTCTTCTCTGCACGTGCGGCCACGACCTCCGCATGTGCGGCCTGGCCCCTGTTTGGCAGTCCGAATTTCATACAAAACTCAACTTAAAGGACACATAGTAAGGTTCATAATAGATCAATTTAACATAAGGAGAAAGTTCAAAATCACATGAAAAATGAATCACAAACCAACTTAGGTTCCTAATCACTTTGAATTTATAATTATAATCAATCACAATCCAACTCTTTTTGGGTTCACTTACACACACATACACACATATATGTATATATCCATCTAATCGTATAATCCAACCACATAGATGAGTATCTACATGACATTAACAAGGAAGCAAGGTGTAACTTCTCCATAACTCAAATCAATTTCAGAAAATTAAGTCTCTAAGGCTTCCAATTCAGGATTCAAACAGTTAAAGTGCGACAGATAATTTTCTTATTAAACAGATAGGAATCCATATTCCAAGTCTATATCCATCTAATCGTATAATCCAACCACATAGATGAGTATCTACATGACATTAACAAGGAAGCAAGGTGTAACTTCTCCATAACTCAAATCAATTTCAGAAAATTAAGTCTCTAAGGCTTCCAATTTAGGGTTCAAACAATTTAAGTGCGACAGATAATTTTCTTATTAAACAGATAGGAATCCATATTCCAAGTCTCACTTAAATCAACGTAATTTCGCATAGAATTTCACAATAAGCATTCAAAAACACATAATAGAGGACTGAAAAGATACCAGAATCATGTACGAGGGTCGGGGTATTACACTCTCTCCCCCTTTAAATAAGTTTGGTCCTCTAAGAAACAGATGCGGATATTAGTGTTGTATTTCATCTTCCTTCTCCCAAGTTGCCTCGGTTCCATAGTGTTCTTGCCATTCCACTTTTACCATTGGAATTTCTCGGTTCCGCAATTGTTTCACTTGCCAGTCCAGGATTCAGATTGGTTTCTCTTCATATGTTAATTTATCATCCAGAGTAATCTGATGGTAATCTATGACATGTGACGGGTCTGGAAGGTATCCTCGAAGCATAGAGACATGAAACACATTATGCACTTGACTCATATTTGGTGGAAGGGCAACTCGGTAAGCTACTGGACCCACTTTTTCCAATACTTGAAAAGGACCAACATATCGGGGTGTTAACTTACCCCTCTTTCCAAATCTCGGATGTCCTTTCATCGGAGTGACTTTCACAAAAACATGGCTATCTACCTCAAATTCTAAATTCCTTCGTTGGTTGTCCGCATAGCACTTCTGCCTACTTTGAGCAATTTTCAATCTTTCCCGAATAATTTTGACCTTCTCCATTGTCAACTGAACAATTTCTGGCCCTAGCAATGATCTGTCTCCAATTTCAGCCCAACACACGGGAGAACGACATCGTCTTCCATATAAAGCTTCATAGGGTGCCATTTCAATACTCGAATGGTAACTGTTATTATATGCAAACTCTATCAACGGCAGATGGGTTTCCCAACTTTCTTGAAAGTCCAGAACACACATTCGAAGCATATCCTCTAACGTATGTATCGTCCTCTCGGATTGTTCGTCTGTTTGAGGATGGAAGGTTGTGCTAAACTTTAGTTCCGTACCCATTGCATCCTGTAGACTTTGCCAGAACCTTGAAACAAATTTTGGCTCTCTATCTGACATAATTGAGACCGGGACACCATAGAGCCTTACAATTTCATTTACATAGATTACAGCAAGTTTGTCTGCATTATATTGAGTCTTCACAGGTAGGAAGTGGGCGGACTTAGTTAATCGATCAACAATGACCCATATAGAATTCATACCCGAGGTGTCCATGGTAACCCTACGACAAAATCCATGGTCAGATGTTCCCACTTCCATTCCGGGATTGGAAGGGGTTGTAATAATCCTGCTGGTTTCTGATGCTCTGCTTTTACTTGCTGACATTGCAAACACTTAGAGATAAACTCCGCGATTTCCTTTTTCACACTTGGCCACCAAAAATTTTGCTTCAAATCCCGGTACATTTTACTACTTCCCGGATGCATTGAAACTCTTGAGGCATGTGCTTCTTCCATCAATTTCCTCAATACTCGAATGGTAACTGTTATTATATGCAAACTCTATCAACGGCAGATGGGTTTCCCAACTTTCTTGAAAGTCCAGAACACACATTCGAAGCATATCCTCTAACGTATGTATCGTCCTCTCGGATTGTTCGTCTGTTTGAGGATGGAAGGCTGTGCTAAACTTTAGTTCCGTACCCATTGCATCCTGTAGGCATGTGCTTCTTCCATCAATTTCCATTTAAGTTCTAACACATTAGGGACACATATTCGATTTTGAAATTTAAGCACAGAATCCGTCAAAGTGAACCCCGGTTTCGGTTTTGTTTCCATTTCATCACATATTTTCTTTAGAGCTCCATCTTCCATTTGGCATAATTTAATCTCCTCAAGTAATGTCGGTTGGGCCATCATTGCTGCCACTATTGTTTCCTGACCATGTATCACCAAGTTGACCTCCATTTTATTCAACTCACTTATCAACTCCTTTTGCTCTGTCAGTAAATTTGCCAAATTTCCCATATTCTTCCGACTAAGTGCATCTGCCACCGTGTTGGCTTTACCAGGATGATAGTGGATCTGCAAATCATAATCCTTAATAAGCTCTAACCACCGCCGCTGGTGCATATTCAACTATTTTTGGGTGAAAAGGTATTTGAGACTTTTATGGTCGGTATAAATGTCGCAGGTAGTCCCATACAGATAATGCCGCCAAATTTTTAAAGCAAAAACTACTGCGGCTAGCTCAAGATCGTGCATGGGGTAACTCTTCTCATGGGGTTTAAGCTGGCAAGAAGCATAAACGATAACTCTTCCGCTTTGCATAAGCACACAACCAAGTCCTTTATGTGATGCATCATTGTAAATCACAAATCCCTCAGTACCAGACGGTAGGGCAAGGACCGAAGCTGCAGTCAACTTCATTTTTAATTCTTGGAAAGCAAATTCCCGCTGTTCCGACCATTCAAATGAAATTCCCTTCTTAGTCAACTGTGTGAGTGGTACAGCAATCTTGGAGAAATCTTGAACAAATCTCCTATAATATCCGGCCAACCCCATAAAACTACGCACTTCAATCACATTAGTCGGAGTTGGCCAGCTCATGATCGCCTTAATCTTGTTTGGATCAACGGAGACTCCTTCCTTAGTTATGATGTGCCTCAGAAACGCCACTTCACGTAGCCAGAATTCGCATTTCTTTAGCTTTGCGTATAACTTCTTTTCTCGGAGGGTCTGAAGAATTAAACGAAGATGATTGTCATGAGCTTCTACATTCTCTGAGTAAATGAGGATATCGTCAATAAAGACCATGACAAATTCATCCAAATAGGGCTTAAAGACACGATTCATCAAATCCATGAATGCCGCGGGTGCGTTAGTGACCCCAAAGGGCATGACCAAAAATTCGTAGTGACCATATCGGGTTCAAAATGTTGTTTTCTTAACATCACCAGCTTTAACTTTTAATTGATTGTATCCGGACCGTAGGTCAATTTTTGAGAAGACATGTGCTCCTTGTAACTTATCAAACAAGTCGTCAATCCACGACAGTGGATACTTGTTCTTGATTGTTACCTTATTAAGTTCCCTATAATCAATGCAAAGTCGGAGTGTGCCATCCTTTATTTTCACAAATAGAACTGGTGCACCCCATGGAGAGACGCTCGGACGGATAAACCCCTTATCCAGTAGGTCTTGCAACTGAGTCTTCAATTCCCTCATCTCAACTGGTGCCATTCGGTATGGAGTTTTAGAAATGGGTTGGATTCCCAGTAACACTTTAATTGTAAACTCGATTTCACGATCCACTAATTCTCCTGGAAATTCTTCCGGAAAGATATTCGGAAATTCACAGACAACTGGGATCGCATCAGTATTCTCATTCATTCTTGGCCCCTCCAAAACACTGCATAAGTACCCCTGGCACCCTTTCTGAATTAATTTACAAGCCTTTGCTACAGAAATCACATACGGTGGAGAAGTTATTCCATGTCCCTGAAAAGTAGATTATGATTGTCCCGGAGGGTGAAAACTGATTTGCTTCGTCAGACAGTCTATAGCGGCACCATATTCACCCAACCAATCCATTCCCAGAATAATATCAAAAGAAGTCATATCAAGTGGTAACAGATTAGCATATACACGGACATCCCCAATTAGAAGTTCACAAGCAGAATATACAAAGGTACAGATCATGGAATTTCCCATAGGTGAAGATACACACAGCACATAAGTCAATTCTTCTTCAGGTTTATCTAAATTTTTCGCAAATAATTTTGATACAAAGGAACAGGTAGAGCTAGAATCAAATAAGACAGATATTCGGAAATTCACAGACAACTAGGATCGCATCAGTATTCTCATTCATTCTTGGCCCCTCCAAAACACTGCATAAGTACCCCTGGCACCCTTTCTGAATTAATTTACAAGCCTTTGCTACAGAAATCACATACGGTGGAGAAGTTATTCCCTGTCCCTGAAAAGTAGATTCTGATTGTCCCGGAGGGTGAAAACTGATTTGCTTTGTCAGACAGTCTATAGCGGCACCATATTCACCCAACCAATCCATTCCTAGAATAATATCAAAAGAAGTCATATCAAGTGGTAACAGATTAGCATATACACGGACATCCCCAATTAGAAGTTCACAAGCAGAATATACAAAGGTACAGATCATGGAATTTCCCATAGGTGAAGATACACACAGCACATAAGTCAATTCTTCTTCAGGTTTATCTAAATTTTTCGCAAATAATTTTGATACAAAGGAACAGGTAGAGCTAGAATCAAATAAGACACAAGTAGAATGACCATGAACCATAAATGTAGCTGACACCACTGTCGCTACATTCTGTACATCTCCTGGAACCAACGCAAATACCCTGCCTTGCCTCGTAGTGTCCTTATTGTTAGCAGGTTTAGCAGCTGACTTGGCATTAGGATTCGGTGTAGACCCTGCTGAGCTTGTGGCAGCCTTATTACCATCTTGTTGATTCCTTTGCGGACAATCTTTTATTAAATGACCCATTTTGCCATATCGGAAACATGCTCCAGACAATCGGTGACAAATCCCACGATGCCTCCATGCCTCCATCCACATTTTGGACACACAGGAGCTGAATTTTGAGTAGAAGTAGTAGTGCTGGAGGTCCCTGAATTTTGCTTCTTGTTTGGTGGAGTAGTTGACCCCTTGAACCATTGGTTGTTCTGCCTCTTTCCTTTCCATTCAGAAATTCGAGTCTGAGCAGCAATATTCCCTTCTGCTATAACAGCCCTTTCTAACACATCAACGTAGGTAGGCAACTTTAACACATTAACTCGATCCAAAATAGCACCCCGCAATCCCCCTTCGAACTTCCACGCCTTCTTATAATCTGTATCTACCATATGAGGTGCAAATCGGGCCAGTTCTGCAAACTGAGCTACATACTCGGCAACAGTCTTATTTCCTTGTCTAAGTGTTTCAAATTCGGTTACCTTCTTGTCTCGCATACTTTGGGGAAAATATTTGTCATAAAACAACTCCAAGAATCTATCCCATGTCAACCGCTGGTGCACTGTCCTTGTAAGGATCAACCATCTCCGCGCCTCGTCTTCAAGAGTGAAAGCAGCGAGTTGCACCTTTTGAACTTCAGTACAAGGAAAGACTTCAAATAATTTTTCTATCCCCAGCACCCATGCCTCATCCTTCATTGGTTCGATTCCTCCTTTAAACGATGGTGGTTTCATCTTTTTAAACTTCTTTGTAAGTGTAATGGTTCAGTCCTTAGCATGAAAATCTTACATTACAGGTGGGGGTACTGGTGGTGGTGGCGACTGTGGCTGTTGTTGTTACCGTAGAGTCTCCGCCATTTCCATAATCACCCTTTCCATCTTGTCCAACCGTGCCGAGGTAGCATCTTCCTGATCTTCGGTCCTTGTTCTCACCATGGTCTACAAGACAATCAATTACAACATACACAAAAGAATACAATAGGCATTGATCATCATCATTAGCATTAGCAGAAAACATTTAACATTGCTATCGATCTTTCATATATCTTCAAAACGTTATGCATGATGCCTAAATCTTTCTAGACATCCTAAGGCTCAATGGACCCGTGTGTGAGATAGCAACTCGTGCTCTGATACGACTTGTCACGCCCCTAACTCGCCCCTAAAAGTTTTGGGCATGACGTATTCAGAATTGAACACTTAACCTGATACATATATCCTATGGGGCCTGAACGAAAGCGCTTGATATTAGGAAATAACATGGAAACATATCCATTGAGCCATTTCTAATATGCCAGGATCCCGACTAGCAAATAAACATATAGGGAACAAGCATAAGAGAATAAGGTTCATACATACGTATATATATTTACAAGTCCAGCCCAGAAATTGGGCATATAACAAAACATTAGATACAATTCAACCTTGGCCGGTAATTAGAGTATAAGATAACAAAATTTAACAAAACTGTGCTAAGATGCAAAGGGCTTCTCCAAGTGCCTGGTTGTACTTAGGTTGACAAAAGATAGATGATATCGACGTTAGGACTGACCTCCAAGTTGGTTACCTACAGAATCAGACAAAATTACAGAGTGAGATAAGCTCAGTGAATAACAGTACTTAAACAGTTTAATACGCAATTTAAAACATAATACATAACAGTGCATTCACAAAAATGGAATTCATATCGTTAGTCTGATGCTGTATTATTTTCAGAACGACCTTGGGCCTAGTTATAACAGAACGGCCTATTGGCCCAGAAATAACAGAACAACCTCTCAGCCCTGATAGCCTTTCGGCCCAGAAGTATACAGAACAGCCTTTCGGCCTAGAAATATAAAGAACAACCTTTCGGCCCAGAAAATATACAGAACAGCCTTTCGGCCCAGAAATATACAGAACAGCCTTTCGACTCAGAAAATATACAGATGTATATAATGCCATCATTGTTTACATTCCCACCAAATTCCAATCGATATATATATGTTAACGTAAGAATTTACGGAAATCAAAATGTTAATATCATTAAACATTTACAATAATTAGCGTACATTCATAGTACTGTTACTCACAGTGTTATTGCGGAGCGATGGTTCCTCCTGTGGTGTGTCCTACACACGTATATAACATCCATTAGTTCCTTTTTCCTTTTAAACCATTTCTTGAGTCATTACATTTCAAATGAATTTACAACCATCAAAAAGGCATCAAACATAAATTCTAAAAATATCCGGGGGTTAAGCACGTAAAACGGAGCGAACATTTTTTTCGGACTTTGGCCGCACGTGCGGCCACTCCCTCCGCTAGAGCGGCCATGGACCGCACGTGCGGTGCCTCTCCTCTGCTCCAGCGGCCAAAAATAGTATGGTTCTCCATTTTTTTCTCTCTTCTCCGCACGTGCGGCCACGACCTCCGCATGTGCGGCCTGGCCCCTGTTTGGCAGTCCGAATTTCATACAAAACTCAACTTAAAGGACACATAGTAAGGTTCATAATAGATCAATTTAACATAAGAAGAAAGTTCAAAATCACATGAAAAATGAATCACAAACCAACTTAGGTTCCTAATCACTTTCAATTTATAATTATAATCAATCACAATCTAACTCTTTTTGGGTTCACTTACACACACATACACACATATATGTATATATCCATCTAATCGAATAATCCAACCACATAGATGAGTATCTACATGAGATTAACAAGGAAGCAAGGTGTAACTTCTCCATAACTCAAATTAATTTCCAAAACAACCAAAACAACTACATGGTAAACATAATTCCCAATGAGACAATCATCTTTCACAAAACTTCAACATAACCTCTTGCCCTCCCAATTAAAAGGGTAAACTCACTCAAACCCAAGAAAGAACTTGATTTAAGATGGTGTTTACGTACCTTGATTCAATTCTCCACCAAGCCTCTCAATTTCCCCAATTTTTCTCCCTAGGTGAATCTCTCCTTTTCTTTTTCTCTAATTCTCCCCCAGGGGATATTTTTCATTGAACTTGTAAGTCAAAAATGTCCAAAGGGCTTTGATATATAGATATATATTTTTATAAAGGGTGAATAAGACAAAATTCAATCGTTTAATCATCCCAAATTGAAATTTCACAGAAAATCTCATTATAGCTTAAAAATTATGCAGATTTCAAATGTCAAATCAATTTCAAAAAATTAAGTCTCTAAGGCTTCGAATTTCGGATTCAAACAGTTTAAGTGCGACAGATAATTTTCTTATTAAACAGATAAGAATCCATATTCCAAGTCTCACTTAATTCAACGTAATTTCACATAGAATTTCACAATAAGCATTCAAAAACACAGAATAGAGGACTGAAAAGATACCAAAATCATGTACGAGGGTCGGGGTATTACACTGCAAGTAGGCTCAACAAGCACTACCAATAACCCCACTTTACCGGTTGCTAACCGGAAAGGAAGTGGTACCTCCTCCGCGCGTGTTTTCAGTCTTTCACCCCGAACACTCAAGCCAACTTATCAATTTCATCTACACCTCCTAACCAAACTTACCAACGTATTTACGCCATAAACATTTCCATAGTTCCCATTCACAATATTCTTTTCTCAATGTAACTTTTCAACTCAATTTAAAATGCAATTTAATCAATTGAAAGAATGTATAATGCAAAGGATGCTCAAAATTTCATAACATCATTCCATTTTTAAGTATCTCACCAATGATACATTGACAACCACATAACCCATTTTTCCTTCTTTTAATATAAATCAATAAAATACTACAAGTTCAATTAAATGTAACAACATATGGCAACCTTCCACATCTTGTACCATCCTCAATACCTTAGCCATTTCAAGGCCATATGCAATATTCTTGAACATCAACGATTGCAACGTTCATAGTTCATGGAACTCAACAAAAAGATCAACTCATCACTATGCATGCATATGCATTTGTTAACAAGTTCAAATATAGTCCCTAATTTCTCATACGTCAAGGAGTCATTATACTTACAAACAATCAATATAAAATTCTCACATTTTTCAAAAAGAAAACCCCAATTTCTAGGTTTTTCACAAAAACCCTAACATTTTCCCTCTCTTTTGTATAACCTCATTATACACCTCAATCTCAACCCATGTTGCCCAATATTTCAAGAAAAATCCTTAAAAGAATAAAAGATGAGCTTCTTCTACAACATACTCAATTTCTTGAATCAAAACCCACTCTCGAAATCAACAAGGAAGAATTCTCAAAATAATCAATCAAAAGCTTACAAAATTTATATATAAAGTGATTTCCTACCTTAATGCTTAATGATGAAAGAGATGAAACTCTAGAGTCAAGATGGAAGATTCTTCAACTTCCACTACACCAAAAGGAGCCCTAGCTTTGATCTTCAAGATTAGTGAGAGATGATGACTCTAGGCTCAAAAGATCACAAGAAATCAAAGATTTTGAATGCTAGATAAGGGTTTTTAGAGAAAAGGAAGAGTAAAAATGTTTTTAGAGAGAGAGAGAGAGATGTTAAAAACAATGAGATACATTCAGCCCTAAAAGATTAAAAAAAATAGGATTTTCGGACCGAACTCGTCCCACACGTGCGGCACGTGCCCCGCACATGCGGAGCCTCTCTCCCATACGTGCAGCCCTCAACCCCGCACGTGCGGCCTTCTCCTGCCGCACCTCCTGCAGCACCTGCATGTATTGCAGTGTGCAGCCCCAAACCTCCCCTGAATTCCGCACGTGCTGCCCCTCTTTCGTATGTGCTGCCCAGGGCCTCGCACGTGCGGCCCTGTCTCCTCAGTCCATAATTTTCCTTGATTCACTCTCGGACGTCCCGGACTTGGCCATGCACCCTCCAGAACAAAAGAAAATCCAACCCGAAATAAACAAGGATAAGGATTGTATTTTAAGAACAACTTTCCGGACATTTCAAACCCAAAGAGAACAAAAGGAGAACGAAGAGAATAAAAAGAAATACACTCGGTCGTCACACTTCAGAATACTTTTTTTTTTCGTTGCTTCTTTCAAAAGAGAAGGGTTTGTTTAGGATGTGGGTTGATTTTTTAGTTTTTTGGTTATTTTAGCTTGGGGCTAAAAAGTCTTATTTGGGATAGGCTTTTCAGCTTTTTTGACTTTTATGAGAGAAAAAATGAAATGATTGTGGGTTGGTTATGACATTTTGTCATATTTGACTAAAACAACTTATTTTGTCCTATATGGCTATTTTAGCCCAAACTCTCATCTCAAACGGGAAAGTTGTTGCTCGATCGAAAGGATATAACACATACGAAAGCTTAGCCTCAAACGGGAAAGTTGTTGCTCGATCGAAAGGATATAACACATACGAAAGCTTAGCTTTGCTGAATTTTTGAGGTATAAATTTTGCTACAACATTAGTGGCTTAGCACTTCGCGCTTCCTGCAATTTTTTTTTTTAGAGAGAGAGAGAGAGAGAGAGAGAGAAAGAGAGTATGTTAGAAAAATAGTACCAAACAATCTAGAAAATATAATTTAAAAATGTGTAAAAGGTTTTTGGGCAAAACCAAAATTGAAATAAATTCATAAAATAACATAATAAAACTTACAGTACATAAAAAGATAAAACTTGATCGAGTCGAGTGTGTGACACTCTTTTTTTAAGACAAATTTGTCCTCCCACCAGTGCTTAGGATTCAATAGATGTCTATCTTCCAGGATACAACGATCAATGTCTTGCACTAACAGCTTTACTATTGCAAGCCTAGCG